GTCCTTCGTGTCATCGACCGCAGCAGCAGCGGATGTAGGTTTTTCGTTAGGTACATGATTTGTACCAACACTCGTGGAAGCAGATGTTACTGCTCCCTGCGCTGTCATTGCTTCAGTACCGCTCTCCTTAACAATCGTCACGACGGCACTCGAGACGCTGTTAGATTCTGGCGAAGTGGTAGCCTCGTGTACGGAGGTATTATTTTCAGGAGCTGCACCATCAGAGCGGCTCGTCATGGTATCAGCTGCTTGAGAAACATCGTTTTTACTCTCGCCCTGTTTTCCCACATTTTGGGGGTCGCCGCGTTTCCGCGTATCCTGCGCACCAACTCTACCTTGATTGGGATGATCACTTCCACTGGTGATTCCTCCTGGATGGTCAGTGGCAGAGGGGTTGGTTTGTTGGTGTCCGGAAGGTGTCTCCTCTTCCAGTGTTTCTTTCTTTTCCAAACTTTCCGGTTCTTTTACTCTTTTGGCAATCTCAGCTTCATTATGATTTTGGATTCCGTCCGCCTTATCCTTGTTGGAGATACTTTGAGTGCGTGTCCTACCAGAACTCAACTCCCCGTCTGTCTGCTCTCTGTTCCCCTGTGCAGATGCTGATTCAGGCCCAGGCGTCAAAACAGTGTCTTGAGGTGACTTCCCCTTACCTCTCGCTCCATCAGGGCCGCCCTCCGTAATTGATTTAGGTGCCCCCATCCCGGAAGACACACAAGTCCCATCACCCGAGGCACCAGCTTCTGAATCAGGGCAGCGGGTGGCTTCTTTGGGTAGCCCCTGACGTTCCGCCAAGCTACTTCCCAGCCTCGTCACAGTTAAATCCGTGCAACCTCCTTCAGTACCTGTGCAGGACACATCGGAGTCGGGGTTTTTAGTATCTGCACAGTTTAAACCCCCTTTAACTTTACAGGAGGTCGCAGAAGCGGCAAAGCAGTTCACACGCGAATCACCATTCTTACAAACTTCAGGCTCCAGTGCTTTGCCACTCTCTCCACGGGAAGAGCAATTCTGCAAAGTGGCCTGCCCTCCAGGTGAAGGGCACACCTTACCATCAGACCTTGTAGAAAGGTCATTAGACACCGAGGATGACACGAGATCTGTCCCAGATGAAGAAGTCTCTTGATCGTCGCCTTCTGCCGCACACCCGCAGGCGCACCACGCACACAGCGGCG